CTACACACACACACACACACACACACACACACACACACACACACACACACACACACACACACACACACTCTTTCACACTCACCTCCCAACACATACTTGTGTTGTTGTTACTTCTTGGTACTTCCTTCAATGCACATATATTCTGTGTAATTTGATTCTTTCAAGGTGCTGTTTTTTGGTTTTTTGATTGGTCTGTGCATTTCATAATTTTATTTCTCTCTAATGCTTAAATTTAATTCTTTGAGTAGTGAGTTCTAAAATGCCTAACCTGTCCTGGCTGGAGTAATTATCCCTATTGGTAACTTTTTCAAAAATATATATTATATCAAGGTTTTCTGTTTCTACTGGTGGCGCACATCCGCACATAGACCAGGAGTGAAAGAATCTATGTGGAAGGATGTTCCCTGCTGCATTTTTTCTCCTATTTGAGCTTTCTTTGTTTCCCTTCCTGCTTGATGACTCTGTTTACTGCTTAAATGCAAATTAAGCAGAGCACCTGTTCCTTTGTTTGAGACAGACCAGTTTGCCAATCTCAGTTTGGGCAGGGCTGTGGGTTTGGAACATGTGTTGTTAACACCACACAGTGGAATCTTATAACGTCACCTACAATGTTCCCACACACTTTTTATCAAGATGATACTGACCAGAAAATTACAAGTTTTCAAATGATACCTTACAAGGCATACTTTGTGCGAAGTTTATTACAATAGTATGTAGGGTATGAATACAGGGGTACGTTCTGTCACACCTTTACATTGGCTAGAAGCATCGGTGAACTTCACGCTCTCATGGCTTACCCTCCTCACGCAGCCTGTCACAAGGATCAGGTGAAGCCGAGACCTCATCTGAAGTTTATCCCCGATGTAGTCTCAACATTTCATCTGAATGAGTCTGGCGGCTCCTGTGTGTCCTTTCCCAAACCCACTCTCTAGACACTTCAGGGGCACTACAGTGACAGAACAAAACCATCCATCTCCTTGTCTCTTCATAGCCATCTCTGGTGCTTGGAGAGGGCAGGCTCCAGAGGATATCCCCATGGATCATGCAGTGCATCTCGATGTATTGCCGGATGGCTGATGGGCCTCTCCCTCCGGCCACTGAGGCTTACTCCACCGCAGCACCAGCCACATCACCTGCTTGTATCTGAAATCTGCAAAGCAGTGACACGGGGTAACCACCTGAGCTTCATTAAGCGCTGTGCTCTTGACCTAGCTGTGGGTCAGATGCCAAAGGACCGGAGAACAGTGCTACAATCTCTGTTGGGCTAGATCAGCTGCCTTCCAGACGGAACACTGCTTGCCAGCCACCTACAGCGGGATCCACACTGATGTGTATTTGAAGCAGTGAGAACGTCACTTACCCTACGGTAACTGGTTCTCTGGGATGTTATCAGTGTGGATCACATGACCCACCCTCCATCCCTGCTTGTTTGGAGCCCTCCGCCTGTAGGATTCTGAATTAGGGAACTAAGGGACGGTTGCCGCCTTGCCACGCTTTATGGAGCTCTCAGATTGGAGCGCGAGGAAGTGCATGGTGCGTGCATGGCCCTGACGGACACGGCTGCTCAAGTCTCATCTCCTGCACACCTACACTCGAACCCACATTGACAACAACATCTCAAAGAGCCGTAGTTACGGCAAGGTAAGGAATGGTCCTTTGCGTGGAGGGGGCCATTACTGCCACAATTTGAGAATTATTTTTTTTAAAAGCCCTCAAATGAAGAGGCAGAGAGTAGGAGCCCCGACAGCTGCTCCCCAGACCCCTTCCTAGTGTTAAGTTACTTTCTGTCTTTGTACTATCCCCTCCCTGTACGCTCTTCCATCCAAGGAAGGATTGAGAGATTCACCGCTTCGGTTTAAACTCTCATGATTAGTGATTTATTGGTTGCAAACCTTTCCCAAATGTGTCTGTCTCCAAAGCCCAGGGAATGACTTGTGTCTGGATTCTGTTTTTCTTGCAGATGAGAATGGGATGGGAACTGACAATGAGGAGGCCGGGCTAGCTCAGAACGCTCCTAAGACGGTGGAATCTCTCATGGCATTAACGGACAGGTTCAGAGAGCGTGATTCCCAGGGTCCTGGCAAAGAGGATTCCTCTGGGAGTCCGAGCAGGACACAGTGGCAGCAGGGAGACACTGTAGGGAAGAGACAGAGTAAATCTGACTGGGGCCAGCCAAAGAGCCAACCAAGAGAGAAGCCCCATCAGTGTCCTCAATGTGGGAAAAGTTTTGGGCACAGCTCACACCTTATTACGCACTGGAGAGTCCATACAGGAGAGACGCCCCATCAATGCGCCGAATGTGGGAAGAGGTTCAAGCACAGGTCCTCCCTCAATACGCACCAGAGAGTGCACACAGGAGAGAGGCCCCACCAGTGTCTTGAGTGCGGGAAGAGCTTCCGGCACAGCTCCCACCTGATCACGCACCGGAGAGTCCACACAGGAGAGAAGCCCCATCAGTGCGCTGAGTGCGGGAGGAGATTCCGGCACAGCTCTTCCCTTAACACGCACCGGAGAGTGCACATGGGAGAGAAACCCCATCAGTGCGCTGAGTGTGGGAGGAGATTCCGGCAGAGCTCACACCTGATCACCCACCAGCGGGTTCACACTGGAGAGAGACCCTACCAGTGCACTGAATGCGGGAAAACCTTTGCTGGCCACTCCGCGTTCGCCACCCACCAGTGGATCCACACTGGAGAGAAGTCCCACGCGTGCGCCGAGTGTGGGAAGCGGTTCCGGCACAGCTCCTCCCTCCATGCCCATCGCAGAGTGCACACTGGAGAGAAACCCCATCAATGCGCTGAGTGCGGGAGGCGCTTCCGGCAGAACTCGCACCTAATCGCGCACCGGAGGGTCCACATGGGGGAGAGCTCCTTCCGCTGCCCGGGGTGTGGGAAAGGATTCAGCCACGGCACAGACCTCATTCGACACTGCAGGAAGGTGAGTCCCCCGGCTGCCGGGGCAGGGGCAGGATACAGGGACACTCTGTGACATTACCCAGGGTATAATCAGGACTGATGAACAGCTGTGTCACTTTAGTTCTCCAATCTGGGGTGCCTTTTACACTGTTTGAGAGCTAGCACTCCTGGTCTGCTCACCCACAGCCTGCAGCATGTACGTTCCTCCCAGTTATAGTGTCTGAGTGCTGCAGCTAGCCGCTTTTGATCTACACTGCTGAACAACACCAGCAAACTCCCAGTCCTGGACTGTCCCCAGAAATGTCTGTCTTGGACTGCCCAGCCCTCTCCTGGACAATACAAGCTCATACAAAGCCCGTCATTTTATTAATAGAAAATGATATGCACAAATCCTGCTATCCCACATGGAGTTTCCCAAACACCTCAGTTGGAACACACTGTCTTAGATAAAACAATAAACAAGTTTGTTAACTGCAAAAAGATTTTCAGTGAATATAAGTAATGAGGCATAAAAGTCAGAATTGGTTACAAGAAAAGAAAAGCACAACTACACCTCTACCCCGATATAACACGACCCGATATAATGCGGGTTCGCATATAACACGGTAAAGCTATGACACGCCGCTCTGAGCAGCGTGTTAAGGGTGCCGGACCAGGCTGGGGCCGAGGGGTTTCATAAGGGGCAAAGGGTCTTGGGGGCGGTCAGGGACTTTCCTTCCCCCCCCCCCAGAGTCTGGGGAGCAGGAGCTTTGGGAGGGCCCGGGGGATTAGCGGGGGGCCGGGAGCAGCCCGCTCTGCTTCCCTGTCCCTGACCCCAGCCATGTCGCTCGGGGGAGGGAGCTTGGGGGAAGGGATCCCTCCTGCACTCGCCAGCAGTGGCGGAAGTGGAGCAGCCCGGCCCCAGCCCGCTCCACTCCGCCAGCTCCCAGCCGCAGCGCTCTGCTTCCCGCCACCGGTGAGTGCGGGGGGCGTCCTTTCCCCAACCTCCCCGCACTCACTGACGGCGGGAAGCGGAGCATCGTGGCTGGGAGCTGGCAGAGTGGAGCGGGTTGGGGCCGCCTCGCTCCGCTTCCCGCCGCCGGTGAGTGCCTGTCAGGGAGCGGAGGGTGTGTGTGTGGATAGTGGATAGGGGGCGGAGCAGTCAGGGGACAGGGGGGTTGGGTAGGGGGTGAGGTCCTGGGGGTGATTAGGGAGGGGGGGGTCTCTGGAGGGGGTGGTCAGGGAACAAGGAACGGGGTGGGGGGGCAAAGCAAGTTTGATATAACACGGTCTCATCTATAACACAGTGAGATTTTTTGTCTCCCGAGGACCGCGTTATATCGGGGTAGCGGTGTAATGCCTAATTAAACAAGTGAATTTAAAGCAGTCTCTCTCAGCAGGTTACAGCAGTCGTACTCGCTGCATTTCTTCCCGTCAGGATCCCTCCTCCAGTCCAAAGCTGTTTCCATTGTTCTCCAGATGTTGTGGATGCCATGGGTAGAGAGAAAGGGAGGAATAATTTGGGGCATCTACTCTCCCTTATAGTTCATTCTCTTCTTTGAGAATCATCTCCAGCTGAGGTTCAGAACAGAAAGTCAGTGTGGATGGGAACCCCCAGCTGTTTCTTTATCAAGATGTAGATTTTTCCCCCACACCCTCTTTCCTGCCAAAGAATGGCGACTTTACCAGGTGATGCTCTATTTGATTTTGTTGACACCTGGCTGAACTGTCGGCTAGCCTTTTCTCTCCGGGGAACTGGTTTGTGACTGTTCCCCAGACTTCGAACATGTCTTAGTAACATCATATAGTAGAATCTTATAACTTTATAGACACACATATTTTACCAGGACAATAATTGTCAGCAAATTATGAGTTTTCAAATGATACCTCACAAGGCATACTTTGTACAGAATTTGTCATAGTCCTGTAAAAGGGGTGAACGTAGTGGTACAGACTGTCACACACTCTCCTCCCCCAAGTGGTACAATCCGTTCCTGGGCCTTAGAGCTTGTCTACACATAAATGTTAGTCCAGAATACAGTAGGGTGTGAATTTAAATGGATTAACTATCTCAGATTCACTTGACATGTGGATGCTCTTATTCTGGAATAAATGTGCTTTATTCCGAATTAGCTTCATCCAAAAGTGAATTAAACTAATTTGGAATAAGGCATGCTTATTCTGGAATAAGAGCCGGAATAGTCTAAGCTCTTAGGAAGGCAACTTTCTCTGTTGCGGTAGAACCGTTTCTCTGCCTGTCTTGTCCACTTACAATAATAAATATTTAAACCCAAACCAGGGTTTGGACAGGGCCAGAATCCTCCTGGCTCAGGGCATGAACTGCCCTCTAACTACTGGGGGAGAAGGCTCCCATAGCTGCCTCCTGTAGGGTTTGGGGACACCTTCTTCCAAGCTGCTGTCAGAGATTGGATACCAGGCACCAGGCTAGCAGGAGCCCCCGGCACCTTGACTCCAAGGCCAGAGCCTCAAAGGCATCACTGCCTCTTGCCTTTTCCCTCTCAACAGAAAGCAAAGGTGCACAGAACACGCAGTGCAAGGCCCTGCTGCTCCGTGCGTGGATGAGCAGCGGGGCAGGCACTGAGAAGGGGGTGTTTGTTGTTCCAGGTGCCAGTGACGTTTGCGGATGTGGCGGTGCACTTCACAGCGGCAGAGTGGGCCCTTCTGGGCGAGAGGCAGCGGGAGCTCTACCGGGACACGATGATGGAGAACTATGGGAACGTGGCCTCTCTGGGTAAGGGATTTGCTTCTCCCCATGTATTAGAAGCTGGGAGGACTGGGAGTCTAGGCCGTGGCTCAATTTTTCTCGTCATCCCTTAGACTCCCTAGGGCTCAGCTTCTGTAGTCCCCAGAATCTGTGTGAGAAGCTGTCGCCCCCGCTCCCAGAGCCACGCCAGCAGGAGATGGGACAGGCCAGCTTTCCTGGGATCGTAGCGTTTAAGGGCAGATGGGTTCATTAGCTCGTCCAGTCTGACTTCCTGTGTGTCACAGGCCCTGACATGTCACCCCAATACCCCGATTTTGAACCCTGTGACTTCAGTTAAACCAAAGCCCTTGAGCCACTCCACTATTGTGAATCAAAGGCAGAGAACAGGAGAGATCCAGGCGTCACCAGCACCTGAGGCCCCTGCAATGGCAGGGAATTGGTTAGGGGGGATCCGAGCAGGCGACCCTCGTCCCATGCTGCAGCGGAAGGTGAAACCCTCCCCACGGTCCCTGCCAATCTGACCAAGGGGAAGATTCCTTCCCAACCCCACATCCAGCATGACCCCAAGTGTGTGAGTGAGGGACCAGCCGGGCATGTAGAGAAAGGATTCTCTGCACCACCTCAAACCACCAGCCCACCCCAACCAAGATCCTGTCTCTCGCTGTGGCCAAAACTCGGATGCTTCAGAGGAAGATGGAAAAATTCCCTAGATTATAATTGAGCATCAGTGGGGGGAAAATCCTTCCTGACCCCTTCAGGTGCCTGGCTGAAGCCGTGCAGCTTGAGGGTGGATTACAGTCATTAGGATCTCCAGTACGTGTCCTACAGCGTTGTGCTCGGAAGAGGAGGCTTCTGGGTGTCTTGCCTACTGCCCGTATTCAGAAAGTCTCTAGCTGTGTTTTGGGGTGGGGCGGGGTGGGGAGCTAGGGGAGAAACACTTGCTCTGTGCCAGAGTCATAAAGCCTCTCAGGATGGGGTGGGGATACCCTGGCCCTCGGACAGGGGCCAGTCACAAAGGAAAGTGACCGGGGTTTCTGAACATCTCAGTGGGCAGTGGCTGCCATGGAAACCCAAGGAGAATGTTTAGGGTTGCGGGGTAAAGCTGTGAGTCGGGAGGGGAAGCGCTCACTCTGGGATGGATGGATGAATGGATGGATGGATGGATGTGGGAATTCTGGTTAATTCCTGCAGGGAACAGCCCTGAGCACCTGGGGCCTGTTTAACTCTGAGATCCCCTTTTCTCTGGTCTGACTTACCTCTGTCTCAGCCTCCAGTCTAGTGTTGGGGGGTCCCTGCACTCCTGGCCTGTGTCTCTTTATACCGCGTGAATGAGTGTCCCTGCTACAGGGAGGCAGTGTACACACTGTGGCGCTAACAGAGCTGATCGCTCTGGGTTAACCCTGTCGTGCAGCCAGGTTGGCTCTCGATTCCAGGGGCCCCCCAGAGGTGATGCATGGGGGGGCAAGGGGAGGTCAAGTGCCCCCCCAGATTGGCCAGCCAGGGGTGAGGAGGGAGAGGAGCTCTACCTTCCCCTCCCTGCGTCTCCCCCCCCCCCAACTTTGGCTAAATTGGCTGC